AGCTCCTTGGGGAAGTTTTCGCACTCCTCGCCGCGAGAGACTAATGGCTGATATTGTCATTATAAGTATGTTGTATGAGTCAATCGGCCTCGTGTCTGTTAATGGCGTTTTCTTCTTGTATCAACTTATTTACGTGGAAAACGAATCCTTTGCAAATTTGCTTATATCGTTCGCCATCCAAACATCGATTTTACTGGTGATTGAGTGGTTTTTCACTAGCGTATCTCTTGCGATAGAAACTCACTATCAGAACATGGCCGTCATGGCTGTTTGGCGAAAAAGATGGAAAAGACATGTACTTGTAGCAATTGTTAATGCAGTTCCCTTAGCATTGTGGTCCAGCGGGTGTGTCCTAGAAATTTTACACGGGTGGTTTAGTGAAACTAACCATCCTTGCAAAATGCCGTTTTCTTGAGAGTGCGCCCTAGTTGAGGAATGTGGACTAAATCAGAATTCCCTTTGTCTTTGAGGAATATTTATCTGGATTTGATAAATAAGAGCTCAAACTGGGTGTAAAATGACAGGTTCACGCAATTTATCTCGAGACATGACTCTGTTATTCTTTCAAAGAATTGTACAAGTGTTTGTTATTTCTTAGAATAAAATGACTGAGGTACCACACACATAATGTTTAATAATAACTTCTATTGTATCGATTAACGAATAGCTATTAAATAAAGGTATGAACTGCACTCTCTAGAGGAATAGAGGCTTGATAACTCACTCTGAAGGCTAATGAAACACGCAAAGAGTATTCAAATCACTCAGCCTAGTCTCGAGAGAAAACTATTGTTCCGTTTACCATACATTGAGAACCGATCGAAATGTTATATCAGTGCGATATAAGCCCAGAGTATTGTTAATTCTTAAACTGAGAAGAGTAAATCAGTTCTTAGTTGCTTGAATTTTGTTAATTGTAAATGGGAGATGAGACATTATAGTCAATAGTGCAACCTCGTTTCTTAACCCTCACCCCACCCCTCAGAATAAAGTAGGGGACGTTTCAGTTGCGCATCAGCAGTTGTACCTAAAGGGCAAAGGTTTACACTGCATCTAACTAACTCTGGTGAATAGTTTGAAACTTTTTAGAATAAATTGTATTAAGTCTATTTTTGCTGAAATATTTAAGGTCACCATTACTGATAGCGAATCGTAATAAAGATTCTTTTCGTTCCTAAAACTCTGAAGCAGGGGTTTGGTTCACTGCGTTGAATTCTTGCACGAGTGCATCAGAAATTATATTCAAGTGTGGAGTTCAGTAGATTACTTTTAAGAATCTCACGAGATTCTTTAATTCTGGAGTTTCCTCTATCTACAAATCATCTTGTTAAGTGCGTGTCTGCTGAACAGTAAATTGTTTCACTTAGAAACGGTACACTCCAAATACACTGTCTTGAATGTACCTCAATTTCTGTCCGCACACGGTATGTCCATATTAAATGAGGTGTGAGGTAATTTTTTCAACTGAAAAGAAAGGTGATGTTCTTGAAAGCTTCGTGCTAAGACCCTCGCTGGTGCATCGATGATAGCTTGCTTGCTCTCTAAAAGATCTTTGTAGTCCAATGTCGCAAATATACCTTTGATACAGAAAGGACTGAAATATTTCTTCGTCCCACAAGCTACGCGGGTTAATTTTGTTTTCTTCATTGCCTCGTTTCCGTAATAATGTACATGAAACAATTACGCGCTTCTACTTGGCTGAAAATGAGTGCATTCTCATGCATCACGAGTGCAAAGTTATAATACGAATGCACGGACGCTTAAAAATTCTGTCTTTTTCATGTACATTGTTAACAAGTAATAAAATGATTTCTCTTGAAATTTGGTGCAATAAGTAAAGTGTAATAAGTGAAGTGTTGTCTTTGAAAGATTTACTCGTGCCTATAAACTCTGAATTGCACTCGGAATCATGTTAGTATGAATACATATATTTTATTAGACGTTTTTGTGTGTAGTATCGCTGAGTATTTTTACGGGTTGTGCTGTACTTTGACCTAAGAGTCAAAAAACAGACAACGAGTAAAAATACTCAGCCATACTACACAACTGCTTTCTGCCAACTGCTTTCTGCTAAGTCTTTCTGTTCATTTCTAATGAGGCAGGAAAAGCAAAGCGGATAGAGAAGCGTAGCGCGCGCAGCCGACTTGTTAAACAGGTTTTTCACAGTACAAAATAGCCAACTGTCCAAATAACCCTACGATATCATAGGATATTTTTATTCTTTTTGCGCGTCATTTGTAATCTACTTTCTGCAGTTGGATAATAAGTGTAATATGTCAACAATCTCTAGTATCACCACATGTTAATAACATAACGAAGGCTGAAAGACTGCCGGCATTTAGTTTTTAGAAGTTCGCTATGTGAATGGCATGTTACAATGGTGACTTTTAGACTCATCAAAGCGCCTATCCACAACTTCCAGGAGATTTGCTGTCATCCAAATAGCCGGGTAAAAAATTCAGAGAGCGAACTGTTATTCATTGTCCGCGTTACAGAGTCTTCGAGCGAACACTTGAGATCTTCGATACTGAATGAACAAGTTCCGAATAAGCTCCAGGTTTTTTAGTATAATGTTTCGAAAGTTAAGAGCAACTCCATGCAAATATC